GCATTTGCTTAAATTTTTTATTGACTTTTTTATGGGAGTTAACATGACGGTGACGGGATAAGCAGTTGGACCACCTCATGTTAAGCGTAGGTCTTCCGCTACTTGAGTAAGGGAAGGCCCAAGTCACATTGCATCCGTTACCCTGAGATGAGAAGGTAGTAGAAGTAGTCATGTGCCTTTAACCCAGCATGAGTTCTCCGTTACAAGGTAGTCGCGCCTCCCGTTTTGAAAACCTAACTACCACAGTAATTTATATACCCTTTGGTGACTAATGATAATTGCTGGCCTTAAAAATCGATTTTTTTGTTTTAAAAATCTGCAAAATCGATTATAAAAAGTTACCCTCTCAAAATTGTCCACCGCATCGATGTTTGCCTCGCCGCCGAGCGTGTGGTAAATCAGGATTTAAAATTGCAATTAACAATTTCATTGGTGCCGGTGGAGATCGAAATCAGGTTGATCGCGCACTTTGATTTAACAATGACAGTTTAGACCTTGAGCTGCCACGGTTCGATTTTAATTAAATCTTGATCAAGTATTTGTTATGAAATTAAGCCTCGAATTAAACTAAGTTTGGAACACAATAAAGATAAGTATTCAATTCGTTAAAGTATGCAATATGCTTGATACGAATATTCATATATTATATACATACAAAAATTCCACAAATGGAAAGTGAATGAATCATATGATCACTATCATAAATTGCTTTGATATTTATTTTGGTATCGTAGTTATAATTTCGTAGTCGGCGATGTGGGAGAATTCACTCACTATCATCCCGTGGATGTCGTAAGCGGCAAAGCGAAACGACACAGGAGATAAGCAGCAGCAATCTATTCATACCAACTCAATATAATAAAAAAGCTGCCGTTGCCAACCTGACTGTCAAGCGTAGCAACTATCGCTAATATTCCATCCTACCCTCTAAGAGGCTATCTGTGGGGAATGCCTATGTTCGGCAGTCGACTTTTAATAGGCTCATTGATTCCGATAGATGGCGGTTATTACGCTAGGGGTAAAATATCTAGTATGGAGTGTAGTAGGAAGTAAGGAGAACAATATCTCGTAGGAGAATAGTTGAAAAAGTGTCCATCTGAAAGCAATAATTTATTTATTGCTTACAGATGGGCACTTTTTTTAACTATTATACAGTTCAAAAACTCCACAACAGCGCTAGAGTAGCTACAGGGATGAAATGAACTTACCGGTTTTCGACGGTTTGAAGTCTGCTGTTAAACTGCTCAGTAGCTCTAAAATAATTTTATTTAGTAAATATTACTTTGAAAAAGTCGCCTATCCCACTAATATTTTTCGGCACGTTCTTTAAAATTTAACCCGTAGCTATAGTGGCGCCACCCATATTTAACTGTTTTCTATGGACACTTTTTAATACACAGTCTGTACTCCTTACCTTTACACTCCATAATATCCAGCAAGGGGAAACAGCATCAAAAGTGCGAGACGTAAGGATCTGATAGACGTGGATAACCGATCATCATATGATATTCCTAAAATTGACCAATACCGATACACAAAATAATAATATTAAATATAAGACAATTACAAATTATGAAAATGCACTCTTAAAAGCCTAAAAGAAAGTAATCTAGCTAATTTAATACTATATGAGAATCCCACGGAATTATTTAACAACTTATTAATAAATTGCAGCAATGTTTAATGGACAACACTTTTTCAAAACGCATTCCCTCGAAGGATCGATTAATTAAACCATGGATTACACCAGGTATTTTAAGGTGCATCCGAAATAGGAATGACATGCAACGAAAATTACGTGCTGATCCATATAATGATATTGTTGCGCGAATAAGACGATGGCACTAGCGCCATCTGGTATCGGGCAACAGAGCGAGGAGAGCTTTCCAGAAAATACATGACTAGCTTTCAACCAACAGCGCCATCTAGTATCGAACAGAAGAATTAAGCTTTCTGGAAGCCGCACACTCGCACTTTCTGCGTTCGGTCGGTTGGCGCGCGTATTTACTTGAATATTCTGGAATATTCTGAATGTATTCGTGGAAGAGCCCTATATAAAGGCGCTGCAATACGCGATCGGGGAAGTATTGAAGTTGGCGAGACAAGCGAAGCTTCGGAGCGGAATAAAGTGAATCAGTGTGATTAATTATTAGTGTTTTAAGTTTAAATTTGTGTAAAGAAAATTAAAGTGTTAATTTAGGTAATTTTATCGGCAATTTATATTGTCACGAACCTCAAGCTCGTAACAATATCTTAAAAGTAACTTACAAAAAAAACCGTAATTTTTGTAATCACATAATTAAAAAATCTAAGATTCAATTGATAAAGAACTCTTGATTAAACATAGGAAAAACCCACGGACTTTATGGCATACAATATATAATATTATAACAAGCCGTAACAAAAGAAAAACAAATAGTCTGCAGTTGTTAGACATAAACACTTCCCTACAGTTGTCTGTTGATCATGTATGCGATATTATATTCGATATTATTATATTCGCTAATGTTGGAAAAACCTTAGCTGAAGATATTCTAACAAACACTTATACACAACAAGTTGGTGCTAGCAATGTTTGTTTTAACTCACCTGTAGCGTCTATGCTTTTTTATGAAACCGTTCCTGAAGAGGTTCACAAACTTTTGATGAGCCTGAAATCGGAGAGCACCCCAGGCTGGGATAATGTATCTACTCAGTTTTTAAAACAAGCGAACGATCAAGTAGCGCCCATAATTTCGCACCTTGCTATCCTCTGTTTTAAACATGGGATCTTCCCAACGGGGCTCAAAAAGGCAATAATAACGCCGGTGCATAAGAATGGTGACAGAAAAGATGTATCCAACTATAAGCCAATTTCAGTTTTAACCACCATTTCAAAAATTCTAGAGAAATTAATCAACAAGAGACTTATAAATTATTTAAATAAAATTGATTTTCTTTCAAAATCGCAATACGGCTTTCGGCAAAATCTTTCAACTGAAGATGCCGCCACAGCATTAACGACTCATATCGTTAAAAATATCGACAGGGGAAAGAAATGTATTGCAGTGTTTCTGGATTTAAAAAAAAGCATTTGATACTGTCTCTGTCCCCATTCTTATACAAAGGCTAGAGAGTATTGGCATAAGAGGAGTGGCACTTACGCTATTATCAGACTACCTCAATGAACGCAAACAATGCGTGAAAATAGGCCAACACATTAGTAGCCAATGTGATGTGACGTGACAGGGAAGTGTCCTTGGGCCGACTCTATTCTTGACTTACATCAATAGCCTCTGCAATATGAGTATTAACGCGGGACAAGTTTTTTTCTTATGCAGACGACACTGCCATTGTTTTCACTGGCAACACATGGGATTCCGTAAGTCAAGTCACGGAGGAGGGCCTAGTCAGGGTAGCTAACTGGTTAAAATCCAACCTCTTAACATTGAATACGGACAAAACAAACTACATAGCATTCACAAAATATAATTCAACGCAATCTGAACATAAATTCAAATTCATGAGTGTAACAACCTTCGAATAAATTGCTCTTGCAAAACCAATTCCAAAGTTATCAATACAAACTATTTGGGAGTCGTAGTTGACCAGAGGCTATCCTGGCACGCCCATCTAGAACTAATGATGGGAAGAGTCAAAAAACTCATATGGGTTTTTAAAAAGCTAAGACATGTTACTGACAAGAAACTATTAAAACTAATTTATGTTTCATGGGCTCAGTCACTATTGACCTACTGTATCCCAGTCTGGAGTGGTGCTAGTAAGACGCAGTTTCTCGATTTAGAAAGAGCACTACTAAAGGTAATGAGCTTTAAACCCTATAGGTATCCTACTGAAAACCTACACAAAATAAGTGATGTTCTAACAGTTAGGCAATTGTATATATTAAAATATAATTCTAAAATGTCACAAAACGCTTCCATATCGCTCATTTGGAGAAACACCGACGTAATTGCTATTTTTCCAATTTTATGTAGTTTTCAATAAAGCTGAATATTTATGTTGGTATTCTAATAAATAAATAAAAATATGTCGGATACTTCCGTCTTTGTTTCCCAAAGATTCAGTATAATGCGCAGAGTGCCGCGTATACATTTTTTTATGATTTTATGACAAAATGAAACCATATTTTGAAAGTAATCAAACTATTATCCATTTATTTCGAATAAAATTTGTAATATTTGAGGAACTTAAACTTATAATAGATAATTTTCACTTAAAGAATCAAAAGGCACGACAATCACAGCTTCGTTAGGCCTACTTTTACAAAATATTAAATTTAACGTACCTAGCTTAATTTGAACAAGTAGATACCATTTAAATGTTTAAAACATTGTCGTAAAAACTGCAATAAAACCTTGGTATGATATTTTTTTGCATTAGTTCTTGTAAGTCACTTTTCTTATTTTGAGCAATAGGTATTTTTCCACGATACGCTGGCTTTAGTGTTAAATCTATTATATCTTTTGTGTCTCCCTTATTTCGTCTGGAGATTTTTGTAACGGCTTCTGTCCAGTCTTCCTCGTATCCAGTTTTAAATTTATATGTTCCATTTTCCTTTTGAAATTTAATCATTTTTATATCATTCGTTTTAATGGTGTTTCCATGTACGTCTTTTGCGGTGTTTAGTCCAATTTCTTCCGCTAATTTTTTGAGATCATAGAAATCGTCATAGTTTAACTCTTCTACAATAAATGGATTGCCATTTTTTTTTGCGGACCTTATGATTTGAACGTACTGCTCTGGCACGTATATGGGCCCAGACTTTTTAGATTTTTTAATAGCTTTTTCTATTAACGAGTGCGCTGTGTCTCCTTCATTTTGGGTATGCCCGCGGATCAAAAATTTATGAGTGATGGTTTTGATTCGTAATGTTTTGACGGCATACAGATACATTGAGAAAATGAATCTGGAAACGTTAAAATAAAATGTAGTACTTACATTAAAATTCATAATTTAGGTAGATTAAGAATGTAGAATTATTGAAAATAGTCAATTCATTAATCCAACTCACCTGTTCTTCTGCTGTCCACAGCAGTTGTCGGTATAAAACGTAACTTCAGAATTAGGATATTTATCAGATACTTTTTGCAGGAATTTGTAGCACAGGAACCGATCTCAACTGCACCCCGACCTCCTAAAGCCTCATGCCAGAAGTAACAAATCGTCTCCTTGTTTTTTATATCAGTGATCTAAAAAATTAATCGAAATTTATTGTATTAAGAAATAAAATTGTAGTTTATGAAATAAAAAAGTCAAGAGTAACTTACAGTTAAATTCAGACAATTTAATTTAGACTTATAAAAGAAAGCTGATGATTCTCCAATCGGTACAGGCATCACAGCTTGTAAATCAAATATAGCTACAATGCTATTGCTTTCCGCCATTTTACAAGTCTCAATGTCATTCTTTTTTTCAGCTCGACTGAGTTCTTTTTGGCGCAGATGTTCCAAATATTGATTTTCTAATACTTCATCACCGTCAACTGCATTTTTACGAGATTCACATAGATCGCACTGATCTTTCTTGGGGATGAAAAAAGAAATGTTAAACTCTTTAGTAAATGTTCGGTAGTATAAATCATAGTTTGCAGCAGTTTTGTTATCGGATTCCCTCATGTTTTTGTAGTCACGATGTAAATCAGCTAGTGTGAGACCACCATCAATGTATTCTCGACTCGTGTTTGCACGGAGATAATGACTGTCAATCCTAGCTATGGAGTTTATATGAACTCTAACGGAGTCCAAGACTTCTGGATCAGTTTTAATATGATCATGCTTGCCACGACTGTCTATTGGTGCACTGCCTAGAAAGCCTTCACTTGTTTTAGCCTCGATCACAGTGCGTAGTTCTATCCGCAATTCCCAATGTGTTTAGTAAGAAAGTTCTGCAAACTCTTACATTTTGCCCATTGTTGACTAGGGAAAAGTATGTGTTAGGTTTTCTATCCTTTATCGTTGTTCTGACACGACGCACGGCTGGTAGAAATACCATAACTACAGAATTAAGAAAATCACGTTGTCTCTGAAATGATGATAAAGCCCAATACATATTAAATATTTCACGCCTCTGCTCCTCTGAAAATTTGTTCGAGCACAAATATCGACACTTGTCTGAACAAGGCGGCTTCATTGCTTTGGCAGGAACAGTTTTACCAGTGCGAGATGTATATTGTTTACCCAAATTCTTTAATTGTTTTGTTTTATTTTTCTTCCACTGAGCCTCATTCCTCACCCTTTTCTTTTTATTTTTATTAGGAGATTGAACAATATTATCTGTATTTTGGGGTGATCCATCATTTGGCATCACACTGTTACTGGAATGATTATTTTGCTGTGATATAACCTCGAGAGTCTCGCCAGATTGCATTAAGTTGGAGCTGCGTGTAGTAGAGTGAAAAGAAGTGGACCTGCTTGATGATGAGCTTGATGACGATGAAGAGGAACTGCTTGAACTAGATGAAGACATTTTGCGAGTGCGTTTTGCTGGCCGATATTCATCACCACTGTCATCTGGTGAAAAATCTTCACAGTCTGATTTTAAATATTTGCCATCTACATTAGCACTATTTTCGATGGATTTTGGTAAAACTAATTCAGATATTTCTGGTTGCGAGTTATTATTGGCTGGTAAATGGAGCTGCAATTCAGACACAAGAGGAACGACATAGTTGTCTTGTTCTAATGTGGAAACGTTCCCTTGTGTCAAAATCGACTTACTTGCAGTCGAGTCTTCAGAATCAGAGCTAGATGAGGATAAAATTGATGTAGATTTCTTAAGATCACGAACAGGTTGGAATTCGAAGGTTTCTGATTCGTGTTTACTTGTGTCATACTCTGCGACGTAATTAAAAATGCTTGAAATATCTTCATTGTGATACGGAGAGTTTCGCAAACTTGGCAAGTCAGAATAAATACTCTCAACTTGTTCATTTCTATTGGCTAAACGAAAATTAATAAATTATAGCAAAACGAAACCAAAATAAAAATCAGTCTAGTTGTCTGCCTATTTTACACGTACCATTCCCACTCTGATCAGCAACACCAACAATATTGACATTATTTAAATACGTCATTGTGTCAATAGATGATGGTTCGTGTCTATCCATTACTAAATTGACCAACTTTCTACCACGTCCTTCCATTATTGTAAATAACCTAAAAATAAATGAATAGGAAATCAAAACAAAATTATAAATCACCAGCGCGCGTCATGTGACTTTTATTTACATAAGGTTTAAATTACAACTATTGACGCGCGCTCGTGAAATGCATTAACTGTACATGATACAACATAAAAGAATTTTTAAAAAGTAAATCTAACTTCAAAGACTAAAATAATCCCACGTGGAATTTAGGAAGTTTACTGCAACTTCACGCAGATAAAAAAGAATTATACGAACATTTCATGTAATACAACACAACAAAAATACTTGGCCAGGTATCGTGAAAATAAGCTGGCTTGCTCTTTTTAAAATGTATATATATTTAAATAATTTCACAAAGCAATGTTTAAGCGTATTTGAACCAAATAATAATATTTTTCTACCAACAACGACATTACTAATAGGAAATTACAAAAATTATGTCATTGCTTCTGCAAAAATAAATATATTTTGGGACAACAATGTCGAAAATGTTCATTCCGTCGTTGTGGCCCCAAAAAGAACGAAAAATAATGTCATAATTACCGTTACGTCGATGTAGCACCCAAACACAAATACACTTCGCGGAGCTCCCCGCGCAACTGACCGATGCGTCGCTGTTTCCGCGAGATCTTTGCGAGTTAGTAGTTAAATGCAACAACGACGCTAGCGCTACCTACCGATAAATAGACTGAAGTTGATTTACGTCTTTGTTTCTCCTAACGTAAATACACTTTCCAAGTGATTTGTCATATTTATCTAATTTTTGGAAAAAATTACATTTACGTCGATGTTTCTCCAAATGAGCGATATGATCCTTCCGAAATATTCATCTTTGGTCTGCGCAAATACGATCACGTATCAGAATTTCGCTCCCAATTAAAGTGGTTGACTATACGCCAGCGCAGAGATTTTCGAATGCTGTCCTCTCTGTTTTCGGTTCTTAATGACTCTTCCTCACCCCTTTACCTAAAAGAAAGATTCCAATTCCGTAGTGACACTCATTCTCTCAATCTCCGGTCTTCACACAATTTATTACTGTCTACTCCTCTCCACCTTTCTGGGTTTATGTCAAATTCTTTCACATTAACTTCCATCTCCCTCTGGAACAAATTGCCTGTTGACCTGCGCATAATACCTGCTAAAAACGTGTTTAAAAGAAAACTATACGAATATATCCGTAACCAACAAATTTGAGTCCACTTACTTTATGTTTATAGTTATTTGTATATAAATTTATGGAGATATATATTTATATATGTATATGTGTATGTATATATGTATATATATGTATATACATATGTATGTGTGTGTAAGTGTATATAATATATATGTGTATATATATATTATATGTATGTGTAGCATGTACATTTTGAATTGAATGAGATCATCACATCTTTACTGCCCATAACTCACTCTCTGTTCTACCCAAGGTTAGCTGGTAGAGAATGCCATATAGCATTAAGCTCGCCTTTTGTACAAAATCTTTGGTGCAATAAAGAATAAAATAAAATAAAATAAATAAAAATATCTAGAAGACGAAAGCATAATATAGCTCCCATTGCTACAGTCAAGTCAGGTTATGCTAGGAGGCAGTTTACGGTTCGATCTGCTTATTTATATAATAAAGTTAATAAAGTTTTATACATTTACCAAATGACTAAATACAATTGCAAAATGAGTTTGATATTACACTATTAAAAACTTGGAGTTATGATAAAACTGAGTCTTTCTTACAGAACTCAAACTAAGACATTCTTGGATTATATTTTACGCACAATAGAAGTTTGATATAAAACTATAATATTTTATTTAATAAAATAGGAATGATAAAACTCACCTAAACTTAATCCTTTGGGGCCTTAATCTAAATGAAATTGTATTAATAACCCATAAACCTCAAACACACACACACACGCACACACACACACACACTCGCGCACGCACACACACACACACGCACGCGCGCGCGCGCGCACGCACACACACTCGCGCGCGCCACACACACACACACACACACACACACACACACACACACACACACACACACACACACACACACACACACACACACACACACACACACACTTGCAACTTTTAAAATCTAAATTAAAAACATGTTTTTAGATTAAGTATTGAAGTAAGGAGGTATCACATTAGTATTCGTTAATCAATGTTACGGAGAGGGGGGGATTTCTAACACAAGTATTTATTTACTTAAAAGAAGTCCTCATTCACAACACTGCTATGTAAAAACTCTGATACTGAATAAATTATTTGATTTGATATTGATTTGCTATCGTCAATCTGCCTGCCTAGCGTTAACATTAAGACAACTGACTACGGAAAAAATCCTTTAGTAGTGGACATTCACGGTACATAAAACAAGTGGTAAAACTAAAAATTTTGTACAATCGACTTCAATATAAATAAAACGAGTACATCATCAATGTAGTCAAAATACATTTAATACGCATTATGAAGGATAACTCAGAAATACATATGAAAAGCACCAGCCAACAAAAAAGAATCATTAAAATTGGTTCACCTAGAAAAACACATACCTCCTCTTTTTTGAAGTCGGTTAAAAATAAAAAACTGGTGTATTGTCTATCAATTTATATTTTCTATTTTTTATACAGAGATAATTTTAAAATGGCGATCATAGAGCGTCGTTGAGTCGGTTGAATTCGTCGGTGTCCACGGGCACGTGCCAGCGCGGCTGCCAGAAGCCGGGCGGCGTGCGCGCGCGCGCCGGGTCGCGTCGGCCGCGGTGGCGCGAACACTCGTCCATCTTCTGGCGCAGCATCTCTGGATCATCCTTGTACAGCTCGGCGTAGAACTGACAATCAAATTACCACTTTTATTTTAAACTATTTTAAGCCTGTGGCCTTATACTGCCTGTACGAGGCTGCCACTCGAGAACCTCTTTTCCCCAATCGCTTATCGGTTCTTCGAGCTATGGCCGGCCCATTGCCACTTCATCTTACTTAACCCTTGGGCTATGTCGGTCACTCTGTTTCTACTGCGTATATTTTCATTCCTAAGTTTATCACGCAGAGAAACTCCCGAGCATAGCCTTTTCCATAGCTCGTTGAGCGACCTTGAGCTTCCTCATTCGGCCAGCAGTTAAGTACCACATCTCAGATCCATAGGTCATCACTGGCAACATGTATTGGTTGTACAATCTTGTTATGAGGAAAGTCTCATTAGTTTTAACAATTATTTGGTTTCTTAAAAAATAAAATAAAATATATATACCGATATACTGGCATTGCTCACTATCTGTTCGTGTAGTCTAATTACAATCGGTTCAGCTACTCAGAAGATAAGCTGAGACATAAATATAGACACAGACATACAAATATTCTAAAAATGGATATTCATGTCTATAGTCAACCAAATCTAATAAATACCTTTTGACGATTCACATTAATCATTCCACAATAACTTTGCACAAGCGTACTCACAGGATTTAAAATAACCTTTTACGTAAATCCGAAGAATTATGAAGTTATCAATATTTCATTACAAAGTGAATAGTTTTTTTTATCATTAATTTAAATTCTAATCTTTCAAACAAAGCAAAATATTAAAAAAATAACCAGTATAAACTTTTTTACTTGAAGTCGTTTCAATATGTCGCTATGTACCTTACCGTAGTGTTTGAATGATTAAAATTCATTGTTATGCGAATAATCGCCAAAAATGTTCAAATAATTAAATCATTGACTTTTTAATGTATTATTTGTTTAGTTATTTTTTATTTTTAAAATTCTTTAAATTACATGAATCGTGAATGACACAAGTTTATTTTTTTTTACTTTGTCAACGTTAATTTGTGCAGGCAAAAAAACTCATATACATGGTCGCGATGAAGAAACCACTACGTAATTTCAATCACCCGCCATTTCGGGAGCTTAATTGTAATTTTGTGTTTGTGTTCTTATTTTGTGACTTGGTTTTAACTTTTTGAACTGTTTCTTTTAAATTCGTTGAAGCATGTACCCATGTCACAAAGGATGATTGGGCAAGTGGTAAAAAACGAAAATATTGATTATGGATGACTTTGAAAAAGACATTAATTTTGAATGCATTATTGAAAATCAAATAATAACTAATCTAAACAACGACATCCCCACTAATTGTACTGAAAGTAATTGAATAAATTCATTTTTAGTCTAGTTTCAATCTTATTTTTTTATAACTGTGGCTCTATAAATAAGCAGTAACCACAAACACGAAGAAACAGATAAATCTTGTGTTTTAAATTATCCGTTTTTAATTTATTCTGATATTATTAAAACCAAACTGTAAATGATTACCAACTTTGAATAATCGATATCGATTTTTTTTTAATCGAATATTGTACGTTCCCATTTTTTGGTTGGCATGCTTGGTGAAATAAGTCTGACAGCTGTCAAAATGCATTTCTTAATTTGGTTGACTATTATATACATATGTATAAAACGAGTGGTAGGCTAGTACTTGCAAATTACTTTCTGGGGATGTTTAATCACTTTAAAAAAAACTAATTGAAACAAATTTATTTCGTTATATTCGTATAGGAAGTTAAAAATTAAATATAATTTTCAACAGTCACCTGTTCACATTGATCACAACTCCAGCCCGGTAAAGCTTGTTTCTCCGACTTTTTCCTTACAGTGGGTTCTTTAAAGATTGGATCTATCACATCCGGTTTAGTTCTGCAAAAACAATCAATATTTAACAATTTAATTGAAGACCAAGTTTACTAGGTTACCATCTAGTCAGCGGTAAGTGGTGTTTCATATTTTGCCTAGAATTGTATAGGGGTTGGAAACCAACCTTATTTTTGAAGTGCAACTTCTCTATCGCGTTAGTGGAGAAATTAAGTACGGTCATAAAAAAGCCACTTTTTCTTGTAAAGTTTCACTGTCAGGGCTGAATGAGTATACTATCATTTAACCGGTTTACATAAGCATTAAACATAAAATATTAAATAAGAGAAGAATGATACGTCAAAAAGAAGTTACACTTCGTACGCGTGTACCCAAATATACGCATAATTTTTTTATGTAACTTTATATACACAAAATGGTGTATACGCCAAGCAGGAGTGCTCCTCCCATGTTACGGTTGAAGTAAAAAGAAAGCCAATGTGATTATGTGATGCAAGGCATTTATCTCATTAGCCTGTGGTGACTGCTTATGACGCAAGAGAATCTTACAACTCATTTTATCTGTTGATTTTCGTTAGAGGCCACTATGAGAATTATATTAACCGCGTACTTAAGAATATCCCCTACCCCATATCATTCCGTGGGTGTCGTAAGAAGTGACCGAGGGAAACTAACAACTATTTTTTATTTTTCATAGCATTGAGCTTTAAAATCACATGAGAAAATACTCGAGGCTCGGACTCACACAGTCAAGTTATATAGATATGCTGATTATGAGGCAATAAATATAAATCTTTCGCAAATAGACTGGGAATCTAATTTGAGTGACGGTAATATCGATGTCTCTGTGTCGAATTTTTATAATATTTTAAATAACATAATAGAAAAACACGTACCTAATAAAACTATTAAATTTAACACTAAATACTCGATTTGGTATAATAGCGCATTGATTAAAATTATAAATGAAAAATTTTTGTCATTTTATGTCATCGCAAGTGGAAGGTGTATAAACAGGATAGTGATTATAAGTCTTTTGCCGTACTAAGAGAGAGAGAAAAAATAATGGAGGACGATTGTTATAACAAGTTTATCAATAATGCTGAATATAAGATTGGTCTTATTCTTTTGGTCTTTTGTAAAATCAAAACGAAAATGTAACAATCTTCCTGACATAATGTTTCTAGATGATAATACGACTTCAGATCCTGTGAAAATATGTGATTTATTCAATACTCATTTTAGCTCAGCTTTTAGTGTTAATAGTCCAAATCATAATATTCAGATTTCTAACTTGGCTCACTGGATAAATTCGGTCACTTTTACAGTCCCTCAAGTTTCAATGTATTTAAAACGTTTAGATGTCAGTAAGGGACCAGGACCTGATGGCATTCCACCCTTGTTTTTACAAAGATGTTACCGTCAATTAGCTAAACCATTAGTAATTTCGTTTAGAACTTCCATGAAGTTGGGTGAAATGCCTGTAGAATGGAAAAAATCGTTCATAACTCCCATATTTAAAAGTGGTAATAAGCACGATATTTCAATTTACCGTCCAATTTCAAAATTAAGCTCGATTCCAAAACTATTTGAGAACATTATTTATGACACACTCTCCCAAATAGCTCGACCAATTATAATTCCTGAACCACATGGTTTTATAGGTCGAAAGTCTACAGAAAGTAATCTTTGCGAGTTTCTTGATCACCTCTATATTGCAATGGATAGTGGACTACAGGTAGATGCAGTATACACCGATTTTACAAAATCATTTGACAAAATTTCACATAGTATTCTGATACACAAATTAGATCAAATCGGTGTACATGGTGATTTACTTCGATGGATATCTTCTTATCTTAGAAATCGTAGTCAGGCAGTTGCAATAAAAGGACACTGTTCATCATTTCTCCCAGTTTGTTCACGTGTTTTTCAGGGTTCGCATCTTGGTCCACTACTATTTATAATATTTATAAATGATGTAATATCCTACTTCCATAATTCCAAAATTCTCCTTTTTGCAAATGATGAGGTCTATTAAATCTATAGAAAACTGCAATCTACTTCAAGAGAATCTGTGTAGGCTTAGCTCATATTGCCAAGCAAATCATCTTTACTTGAACATCAAGAAATCTAATAATAAAGTAATAGTAAGTAATATTATCTCATTTACTAGAAAAAAGAATCCAATCCTCTTTTACTATAAGCTCGACGATAATTTACTAAACAGAGTAAATGAACTGCGTGATCTTGGTGTTCAGTTAGATAGTAAGCTGTTACTGAGATCACATATTAATATCATAACTCAAAGAGCTTATAAAATGCTGGGTTTTGTTATGCGTACCTTAAAAGATTTTAAAAACTCTACAACATTAATTATACTATTTAATACTCTGGTGTGATCTATTCTTGAATATTGTTCTTCATGTTGGAATCCTCAATACAAAGTTTATGTTAAAATGATTGAAACAATCAATAATAAGTTTCTGCGTCACTTAAAGCGATATAATTCTTCTGTAGACTCCATTAATGATAGCTTACACAGTTATACACTCGAAAAACGCCGTGATATAAGAGATCAAATGTTGTTGTACAAATTACTACATATTATCATCGACTTTCCCCTACTTTTAACCAAAGTGAATCTTGCGTGTCACCGGTTAGGTGCACGAAATAAGCCTCTTTTTGCATTGCGTAAAGTAAAAACTAAGTATGCTTCAAATAATTTTGTATCTCTTATTAATTTTAACTTAAAATATTGTGAACTAGATATTTTTGACCTTAAATATAATAGTTATAAAAAATATTGTAAAACTTAATTTATAATTGGAAGCTTCACTATCATCATCATCATCATTACAGGCCTTCACAAGTCCACTGCTGAACATAGGCCTCCCCCAAGTAATGCCACAAAGCACGGTCCTGAGCCACCTGCGTCCATCGACTTCCTGCATGTCTTACCAGGTCGTCACTCCATCTAGTGGGGGGTCGCCCTACACTACGCCTACCGGTACGAGGCTGCCACTCGAGAACCTTTCTTCCCCATCGGTTATCGATTCTTCGAGCTATATGGCCGGCCCATTGCCACTTCAGCTTACTAATCCGTTGGGCTATGTCGGTCACTCTGGTTTTACTGCGGATATCCTCATTTTCACTATAGGTTGTGTGTATTATATTACTTTTGACTGCTTAGTACTTAATGTTTATATAAATACCATTTAGTTTTTTTTTAAATCTCTAAACATATTATGGTTGCAAGCTTTTAATATGTTTTAGATATCTGTGGTAACTTCAATGGTTTTAGGATTACTTTTATATGTTTTATAATGTATTTTTTATTGTACTGTTTGTTTCCCTTAAAAAGCAAATAAATAAATTGGATGATAAACAAGCACACAGTCCACCTAATGGTAAGTGGATGCTGTGGCCCATAGACATCTTCATTTATCCTCAATTAAGAATCAAATGCAAATACGTTGTCACCCCTGAGGACCAAGATGAAATGCCTCGACTCCACGGATCTCTGGTTCTTCAACACACACCATGCGAAACACAGCAGTATTAATCTGCTATTTTACACTGGTATTCTGTGAGAGCGTGGCCCTTCCCCGGTCGAGCCGACCCAATCGTGCTACAACCATAATATATCTGCAGCGTGGTTCTACCAAGTAAAAGCTATTACCCTAAACTAAAAATCAAAATCATAAAAAATGCTATAGTCAACTCGCCTGTCAAGCGCAACGTCGTGGCAACTATGATAAAATCCTATGAGACATTTATGAATGAGACCATGTACAGTAGCGGATTTTTATAGGTTGTAATGCGTGATGAATAGTATCTATTAACCCATCAGGCGCCATAAAAATCCCATGCAGTCGCATGCGCACCATTCTTACTTACAGCTGCACTTAAAATCATTAAAACTTATATTTAGAGACTACTTTTCTATGAAGAAGTTTAGCATTATAAAATCTATACAAAATTCTCTATCTTGTGGTATAAACAAAAGTCAAGTTTTACTTCATTACAAAAAAAATTTTTATTGTATTTTGATAACAAAAAAAAAACATACCAAGAGAATGTCGGCAGCGTGAAAATCACAATTATTTCTATATATATTACTCGAAATTATTTACGTAAAAAGATAAATTATATTCACGCAAAAACTTTCATTACAATTTTATAATAAAACACTAGAAAGTAGATTATAAATAAATATTCATAGGATAACAGTTTTTTTTATTGCACTAGAGGATAGAGTATTTCATATTGATTATATAATGCCAAACTTCTTCATACAAAAGTAGTCTCTATATGTAAATTTTTATGGGTTAAAGTGCTGAGGGTGGGTGCGACCTCACGAGACCGCTAGAGTTTTGACGGAATATGGCCGCGGTCTCATGAGACCGCTAGGGGGTTGAGAGGTTAATTAATTAGGACTATATGAAATAGTCAAAGCCCACTAATGTTACTATGTGCCTATAAAGTGCATTTTAAGATGTAATGTTATTACCATAATGGATTTGCACAAAGCAACGCATAATTCTGTAAATTATTTAACACAGAGCGTCAAATATTTTTACTTCTATCTCTCGCACGGAAATTAAGCTGACCGAATAGCTGAATATTAGGCGAAAGTATTCGGCCGGGAAGGAAGTAGAATATATTTCAGGGCGTCTTCTCCGAAGCTGGGAAAGTCTACGAGAATAAAAGGAGTAAAGTACTGTCTGAAAATTCAGTAAAAATATTCTACTTACAATGTGCATATATCTCCTACATTTATCAGAAAGTTTTCATGGAAGTTGATTATGTAACCATGATTACTTTAATGATTACAAGAAATATAAATTATCATAAAATAAATCAATATTTTCATTTTACCAATTATGTGACTACAACAAAACATTTTACTTAAGTATTCGGTATTCCGCCGAATAGTACCTAAATATTCGGTATTCGATCAAATAGAATAACGAATAAGAAAAGTAGCCAAATAGACTGTATACTAAATAATAGACAAATATTTGTTGCAAGTCCAGTTTTTATGTTGACATAGTAATATCAGACACAGTAAAGATTTGAATCTAAATCACCTTTTGACATTTTCGCATGAGGTTGTTACTTTGGCGTTGAAATTTGTCTGCAACACCGACATACTAGACTGAGATTGTGACGGCATGATGTTCTCCAATAGTGGTCGTTTGCTTGGGCTGAAAAATATTTTCAATAATTAATATTTTTATAGGATAGGGTGGTGACAAACGAGCACACAATCCAACTGATGGTAAGTGGTTGCTATAGCTCATAGACATGTACATCTAACCTCGATTACGAATCAAAATGCACACGCGTCGTCACGCGTGATGACTAAGATGAAATATCTCGATTCCAGTAAAAAGGGTCTCAGGTTCTACACTCACCGTTCGAAACAGCAGCGTTAAGCTGCTATTTTACGCTAGTATTCTGTGAGAGCGTAGTCCTTCCTCTGTTCGAGCCGACCCATTCGTGCTACAACTATAGTGCAAATATATGTATATCCACTACACCATTATCATAAGGGGCTACACAGGGAAATGAAACAAGAAGATGGGCAGCAGCATTTTCCTGATAACAAATCAATATAATAAAAAAACACTGCGGTTGCCAATACATCTGCTAAGCAACTATGCAAATGTCTAATTAGTATTAGTAATGAGTTTTGGCGGGAACTTGACCGTAGACGGATTGTCGCTCCTGTTTTGTCGCTTTAATAATGGTTTGAAGTGGATTTTGATTCGTAAAAGTGAACCGAGTGAACGAAGAAACGACGAAACAAGTGCTTTGATGTCGATATAAACCTCAAGTTATTTTGATCGCTTGGGCGCCTCATGAACTTGAGTTCCTGTCGTCATCAACTGTCCGCTAGGTTGAGCTGTCGTCAAAATCTCCCAAGGGCTTCGCAATGTGACGCATCAGCATATTGTGAAGAAAAAGAATGTAAAAATGAAGATTCCGAAAGAAATGATGTACCAAACCCAAAAATATACATCAGAATTATAAACGAAAAAAAATAAACCGAAGATCAAACTAAAGCAAAAAATAGTCAATGTATGTTATAATTATAAAAAAAAGTTTCTTTTCTTTTCAGGCTCAGAAGGGCTAGAACCCAGAGCCGTAAAACCAGTTAATAAAAAAAAAGTATTAGTAATATAATATAAAGTAATCAGGCTACGAAGTATTTCATCTTAATTAATTGTAGTGATAACAAATGACAAAACTAATTTTACGTATTTGTAGCGTTTAATTAAGTGATCATTGAATGATAAGTTCATCAACACTGATCTGTGGCCTATTTTTATCAGGTAGACCAGGGGTTCCCAAATGATGCCATAAGCTCCTGTTTACAATTCTCCGGAAACTAAACTTAGGTATTCCCACAAAATAAACAATAAAAATTGCGCGCGCTGCATACGTCACTCACTCGCCGATAGATACTTACTGTTCACGCACGTTTGTTTAGGCATGATTTAAAAAATTTGCCACTTGCGACAGCGCGCGCGTTTCGAGCGGGAAACCAGTTTGACGGCGGGGCCGGGGGGAGGCAATATTATGATCCTAAACGAGCCCAAACTGAATATATTATCCAAATTTAAATTCAAAAGCTCTAAGAATTCTTATTTCCTTTGCAACGTCTTATCAGTTTCATATTGTACCATATTTTGACTAGCTAGGGCGCGGAGACAAAATACTAAACCTGTAAGTGCGCTGCGAAATGAAAAACTTTGGGAACCCCTGAGTTGGACTGATTGTACTATAATAATAGTTGGTCTATTAGTCTGCAGACAAATCGCTACAATTTTATGTTTACGGCTCTCACCTGCACGGGTCGGTTTTCTCTTCTGGTTGGAGTTTATCGAATTTATTTATCCTCTGCAGTAACGACATGCTCTCATTTACATCTTCGCTGTTTTGGATCTTCGATTTTACAGGAGTACTGTGCTCTTGCTTGGTTGGACTGCTAGGTAATCTTAAATATATATACATATACTAATCAGAACAAGTAAACTTAGTTCTACATCATATGCTGTAAAAAACTAATGAATTATCACGACTCCTCTTCTCATAAGTTATAGCCGATACAAGTTCTCCCGCAGTAGATACTCGTTGAAGATATCATAGTTTTGTTAACTTCACTCAAAGTGCTTTCCAAAAACAAATTTTGATTAAAAATATACATTTATTTAGTATGTCAACAGCTGGATTAGTTATTTCTATGACTCAGGGTATGTTCTGAAACGTTTCCAATATACTGCCGAATAAAAATGACGTCATTAATTGACGCCATATTGGGTGCAAAATGGCGATCGTAAGCGGTAAGCGCTGTCAAATCGTAAGTAGCTATTTTCCTCCAGGACACGATGTTAGTTTTAACCGGGGAATCTAACCTAATTTAAATATATGTTTGTAAAGTATTCATATTAAAAACTTACCAATCATGAATTTTTTATAACATGTATATGTTTATTCATGTCATTATATTACTTAAAACTAATATTGCTCAAAACAACTTATAAACTCTACTTCAAAACAAACAAATTAAATAAGCAAAATGGCGGATTGTGTCAGCGCTACTGAAGTAGCAATCGTGTCCTGGCCGAAAACTATTTCAGCGCTTATAAGCGCTTGCTAGCGCTTTTTTCTGCCAAACGCACCCATTGTAATGAAGTGCCGCCGCCATATTGTGTCGGATATCCGGCCATATTATAACAATTTTTAATTGTGTGTACGCTGAATGAAAAATTACATTTAGATACAAATTACATACTGATGAATAATATTTTTTGATCTTATTGACATAATAGAAAAAAGATAATCTCCATTAGGAGGATATAATGACTTTTGGAGCACAAAATGACAAAGTAATCACCAACACTTTTCCAATATAACGCAAACGTATGATGGTCATATACTGTCAAATGTTTTGAAACAGTATGGCGTCGATTTATGACGTCATTTGCATTAGACAGTACACTGGGTGTCATTTTGGAACATACCCTCAATGGCCTATAAAACTATGCCATGAGTAAACGCAACGGTCACAAACACATATTACATAATTTCTGAAAGTATTATATAAATGAAAGCGAACCTTTCATTTTCCAGAACTTTCACTTTAAAATTATTTTTCAGCAAAGACATACTTCAACTTACGTTAAAAACATACCTGTTTGGGAAATGCAATAAAATATCCATAGATTCCTCAATATCTTTAGCTTCATTCTTCCCGTGGGGTACATTTTCATTGTTTTCATCGACAAATGTACTACTAATTTCAGTTTTCAATTTATTCATCGACAATGGCTTCTTGAGTTTACTAGGGCTGTTTTTACACCTGAGAATATAAACAATAACAGGTGTAAACGAAGTTTATAGTCGGAGAGTCTCAAAAACACATTATTCTTTTCATGTTTAGTTGCACTATAATTATCACCGTGTCTCTGACACTTTATCCAACCATCGATATCACCAGATAAGTGTAATATAGCTTACAGGTAGCTTAGCACGAGCTTGAGCCTTTGTATTAGTGCACACTTATGTTAAGCTGTGGCTACTCGTATATAGTAAGTCGACGTATAGACGAAGTATAGACTCGAGTGTGATACTTCCCTGGTCAAGCAGACCCATTCCTGCTACATCTATAATATAGCGTAGCAAATGTATCCATTTCCTTTTTTCTTAAAGATATAGTTATATAAACCTATTAAGACTCACCTGTTATATTCTTTCAAAACATTAACACTATCCTTAACCTCAATAACCTCTATATCCTCTTTGACGGAATTATTATTTTCATTTTTGACACATTTACTTTCAGTTTTGCTCTTAAATTTGTGCGCAGATGAAGAATTTCCTAACTTGCTCGGACTGTCCTTTAGACCTTTCTTGAATCTATAATTATGAAGATTTATAGGATATTTTTAATAAATAACTTAAAAATAAAAATTATGTTCTCTCATTTTATTTTGGTGAGCATGGGTGAGTAAAGGGATTTAAGCATGGGTAAGTAATATATATTTTAAAATAGATAATTTTCGGACACACAGAACTTTAGCATCAGAATAAATTTGGATGATTAAATACCAGTGGAATTTGAACAGCATCACCTTGAGAACAGCATGTTGTGCACGTTCAATGTATATCATGTAAACCCATAGAATGCTACATATAATACATACATAATAGAACGGGGGAGTGGGCGGAGCCCGTGTAGCCACTGAAATGTCACTAACACGTCAATTCACACGTATAAATGTCAACAGGAGATTTGTTTTGACGTTACAATCGTTTCCAAATTTCCCGCAAATTAAAAATCAAATTTGCACGCTATTTACAAATAAATATGTATTAAAATGTGTGTGTGAACACAGCGATTCGGATTTGTAGTAGTGATAATACGACTGTGTGTGTGTGCGAAGTGAGAATACGGCGACGCCTATCCTCGTATAAAATAAGGTTGACAGCCATTCTATTGTGTATTATAGTATTCTATGTGTAAACCCAATACGTTCCTCCTCAAGACACTACGCCATACGCAACAGTGAGTGCTAACAATCTTACAGGACTTAGTAAGGACTAAAAGATACCAAATGGTCACAGTGTCATCATCATTGAAAAGTTGCGTTTTAAATAAAAGTGTTTCAGTACATGTATTCTTTAATTTTTTACACATTTTTAACTTTTTTTAATCTTCTACTTTTAGGAATATTCATAGTTTGGTTTATGCATTTCTAATTTAGTTTATATAAAATATAACTAATATTTTAGAAGGAAACTTTGGAGTCGGCCCACACGCATGCTCCACACCACAGCGCGGCGACAAAATGTGGTCACTTGTCAATAGTGTCGCTGCAGCTTTTTGCAGTTGCGTTGTGGTAGCGTTGCAACCATAGTCGTGGCGTCGGTCCTAAACATTGAGTCAACAATGTTTGCGACTGCTAGTTCCGTGTGGCGATAATGACGGCAAAATGTGGTACATGTAAATTGAAAAAAAAAATGTATGCTATTTGTATTGGAAATGAATAAATAGTAAATTGTACTATTTATTCATTTCCAATACAAATAGCGCCCGCCCACGTGTTCTCGTTGTGGTGTGGTGTGGTTGTGGTACGTGTAAGTATACCCTAAATCTCTACACTTTTCTAACAAATTTATTCCACCCTACGAAATCTAGTGTCCGATTATGTCGTGGAGATGAAGTAGCCAATGATGCCAAGCTGATATTATAGATGATTAACTGAAAGCTCATCTCAAATTTCATAATTAATGACCAAACGGAGTTGGATACTTTCCAGCACTAATAAAATAAATATTCGCAATTTTAACAGGATATTATTTTGACATTTGAAGAGTAGGTTTCTGAAAGATTATTGGTATTGGGCTGTGCTTAGATGACAGACCTAGAACACTAAGAGACAACTAATAAAAAGTTGACGAAATCATCATTTGGTATTCCCCTGCTTTCTCCTCCAAAACCGGACTTTTTTTAAGAACAATACACGAAGAATTGTGGTTATATCTGTAAGTTAAGTTTGCTGGATGTCTAAAACTGGTATGGAAATATATATATATAAGAAAACGGACTGTTCTTGTAGATCAAAATGACACACTAGAGGTTTTAAGACGAAATTTAGTTTATCTTAATCTAGAAAATCTTTCTCAATTAAGTGCTTAAAATTGTATGTTAAATCGCTAAAAATATAATAAAACAGACTACATAAAATTTTAAAAACTTGTTCAAAACAATGATGTATGAGTTAAAATCTCTTGCAAGTCTCTTGACTATTGATATAATGATAAAATTGACATTTAAAATATATTACTACACACTTGAGATTGTACACAAAATAGTAACATGGCGTTTAAAAAATTAAACACTCCAGTTTCTTGTTTTCCGAACCGGTGTAGATTGGACGTTTATAAGAGTTTTAAACAAGCCAAATTTAATATTTATATTATTTGTTATTTTTCTCTTTCTACACCGATACCGGTAAGACATGTAGATGATCCTAAAACTTATGATTAAACCACTTAATGTACCATGTCTCTGAAATAATAAATAAATAAAAATAAAGTTTAAAAAAATGTTTTTCACTTTTTTCAAAAATTATTTGAACTATCAAATATATACATTGTGAACTTACGCTGCCGATAAATTTATGGGTCCACTAGTAGGCGATGGTAGAATCATGTCTTCATTTTCAGTAAATTCCTTTTTTATGTTCTGTAACAAAAAAATTAATTTCTTATGAACGTGAACAGTACACATTAATGAAACTATTTTTTCCATTTTAATTCCCGACGTTTCGAGTGCTTTACAGCACCCATGGTCACAGGGGCGCCTGAGATGTTTGAAGTTCCGATGTCTTTATTAGTCCGACTACCTTCAGTTTTTGATATTAATTTTTGGTCCAATCTACGTAGAATAAGCTTACAGTATCTTGAAGTCTTGCAGTGGTAAGCTTGGGTTTGGACTTAATTTTATTAATTATAGGATCCCAAGCAGACGGTAGTACACATCCATCTTCTCTTTTTTTATAGGAAAAGCGTGACAAGCGAGCACACACTCCACCTGATGGTAAGTGGTTGCTGTGGCCCATAGACATCTGCATCTATCCTCATTTGCGAATCAAAATGAAGATGCGTTATCAGCCTTGAGGACTAAGATGGAATGCCTCTTTTCCAGTAAAAAGGGTCTCCGGTTCTCTACACTCACCATACGAAACACAGCAGCATTCAGCTGCTATTTTACACTGGTATTCTGTGAGAGCGTGGTCCTTCCCCGGTCGAGAAGACCCATTCGTGCTATAACTATTCAATTGATATATAGCTGCAGCATGGCCATATAGAATATCATATTGAAATTAGGATGTTTTTTAATTACATCTTCAACTACTGGACATATCTCCTTCTTTCTTATATCTATGATCACATCAAACATCAACAGTGAGCAGCAGTACGCTGGGGAACATTTACTATACTCTGCAATTATGTTGATTAAAGCAAATAGTATTTATTCCATTTGATTTAATCAACTATGTAAGAAGCCAGCAATGGACTGTTTAAAGGCTGATTATAATGAGGACCAACGACTTGACGGTTCCGTAGTGGAGTGGCTTACGAATGAGTTGCGGCGCTGAGAGCCGCAGGTTCGAATTCCGCACGGAGCAAGTATTTGTACGGCCCACAAATAATAATTTTTCCGGGTTTGTATGTTCGTCCTTGTGAAATTTATGTAACGTATTGTTACAAGCCACAATTGATGCCCTAGCGCCATCTAGTGTCGGGGTGCAGAGCGAGGAGAGCTTTCTAGAAAATGCCATGCCTGAACTTTCCACCAACAGCGCCATCTAGTATCTAATAGAAGAATTAAGCTTTCTGGAAAAGTCCACACTCGAATATTCTACATCTAATCGGTCGGAACCGGTATTTGCTGGAACATTCTGGATGTTTCGGTGGAAAAGGCCTATATAAGGCCGTTTAGTCACGACCGGGGCAGTATTGAATTAGCGATACAAGCGAAGCTTCGGAGCGAAATAAAGTGAACTAAAGTGTTAAGTGTGATTAATTATTAGTTTGTATTAGTTTTAATTGGTGTTCGGAATTAAAGTGCTAATTTTGGTAATTCAATCGGCAGTTTTTACTGTCACGAACCCCAAGCTCGTAAAAGTATTTCTAAAAAATAAATAATATATTAAAATTACCTGCAAGTTACTATTACATGTGAAATTTTCAAATCCTCCCAGCACTTCAGGTGAACTCGTCAGATCCACAACAGTTGTAGTTTTGACCTTAACGAGATTCAGACGACTCTGTCTCAGTCTCCCACTGGACTTGCATTTAGATGGTGGAAAAATCAGCTTTACTATCTTACTCTCTGGCGATGGCCTAAAATTTTAATTACCATTACAACATATTAAAAGTAAACGGCTAAACAAAAGCCTTCTTCATAAAGAGTTTTATAGGCAGAATATTTGACATAGTTGCTCTGCTTAGCAAGAGTTGGCAACTGCAGTTTATTATTTTTAATGCAGTTGTTCATCAGGAAGATGCTGCTGCCCATCTATATTTATATGTGGTAGAGCCACGCTGCAGCTATTTTACGTTTGTAGCACGAATGGGTCGGCTCAAACGGGGAAGGACCACGCTCTCACAGAATACCAGCGTAAAATAGCAGCTTAATACTGGTTTCGTATGGTGTGTGTCGAGATCCGGAGACCCTTTTTTACTGGAAACTAGGCATTCCAACTTAGTCCTCAGGGGTAACAACGCATCTGCATTTTGATTCTTAATAGAGGGTAAATATAGATGTGTATGGGCCACAGCATCCACTTACCATCAGGTGGACTGTGTGCTCGTTTGTCAACATTATTGTATAAAAAATCTCCATGTTCAGTTTCCCACTGTCGCGTCTTACAACACCCACAGGACAAAATGAATAGTGGATATCTTTACACCGCCACTGCACGGAACATATTTTTAACTATTATGATTTATGATTATTTATTTATTCTTCATTGCATTCCTTAAAACAAAAGAATAAAAATGGCGGACTTAATGTCTTAAGGTATTCTCTACCAGTCAACCCATGAAGTAGTAAGAATTTGCTCCCCACTCCCACTCCTGCAGAATTTCCGTACATATAATTAATATTTTAGGAGACTAAAGTGAGAATACAATACACAATTTTTTTAATGTAAACATCTTTAACTAACGGCTCAATCTACTCCTTCATCAGCCCGTGAAAGTTCGCTATTGAACCTGCCTGTGCTTCTCCCATTCGAAGTTCTGTATCATCTTGCATCTTTGACGCTACGGCCCATCGCCAGTCTAAGTATTTGACCTCTGGAGTAATCATAAACCATCTCGTATAGATGGTTTACCGTCATATATATTGGCATTTCCCATAGTCACCTCTTACAGAACCCAGGTACGAAATGGGATGATGGGCTCTCTTAACGCCGCTCCCATACAGCAAGGTGGGATACAGTAGGCTGAAATGGTGACATTCTCTTCCAAAAAAAATCATTTTTAATTTAATTACTAATTTTTTTCCTGCCATAAAGCCTAGTCATCCAGACCATCATCGAATATAGCAGAGATAAGTATCCGTCATATACATAAAAAAAATTAACATAAAAAAATCCATGACACTTCGAAATATCTAAGAACTTATAAACTGCTCTTGCATAAAACTCGATATATGGATAGCCATTGTCAGAATTAATGTAAAAATTGTATCTCTAAATGCCCATCACTTACCAAGAATCTGGAAGTTTCTTTTTTTCTTGTAACATACAACTTTCTGTAGTTACAGCAGAATTTTTTAGTTTTTTGCTATAAATAATTGGACTCTTTCTACCGGAGGGAGTACATTCAATTTCTGACACTGAAGTATCTCTATGGCTAAAATTAGCAAGCAAATTTTCTTGATCACCTTTGAGATAGTTAGGAGATTCCTTTTTAGGCATATCATTGGAAGTTGGCGGTGTCAATAGTAACTGGTCTCCAGAAATAATCTGAAGAGCATCACTTACAATGGAAAAATTCTTTGTCTCATTTAATTTCATTAATATAGCTCCTATAAATTAAAATTAATTGATATTTATTAATGCATATAAAATAGTATCGATATTTAACAATTTAATTAAAAAAAAATTATTTGTTCATATTTTATGCGCTGCCGTACCGTCCATTAGATTGCGGTAAAACTTTGCCAAATTATTGCTTGCACTTGCGCGAAGGTTATAGGCATAGTACGATTAACTTACAGCAGGTGGCGCGCGTATCGTACCGACAATTTGAAAGTTATAAATCATTCAATTCCAATGAATGTATTATCATTCCTAATTAAACCATATAACTCTCCCAAATTTAACCAGCAGCTAGTAGTAAGATTATATTAAATAATTTGCATTATTCTTTGCACAATGCCACAGGAAACAGGACTGTATAATTTAAGCTTTTTTAATTAATAATAAAATGATTAAATAAAGATTATTTAATAATATGATCAGGAATAACATATACAATATGTAACAAAAACCCTGTGGTTCCCCTTAAGTATGTTATCAGAATCAGTATTCAAGCATATAGAAATAATTTTTTTTTTCAAAAAAATGGATATTATTCATTGTCTCTATACGTGGTAGAGCACAATCGCATCTATATTATGGCTGTAGCACAAATGGGTCGGCTTGAATGAGGAAGGACCACGCTCTCACACAATAGCATAAAATAGCAGCTTAATGCTGTGTTTTGTATGCTGAATATAAAGAACCGGATAATCGTAAAAGTACTTTTAACGATTATCCGGTTCTTTATATTCAGCATACAAAACACAGCATTAAGCTGCTATTTTATGCTATTGTGTGAGAGCGTGGTCCTTCCTCATTCAAGACTACTTTTACGGATTTTATCGCGTTTATTTTTTACTTTTTATTTTTAATTCCCGACGTTTCGGGCGCTTTCCAGCACCCATGGTCACGGGGGACTGAGATAACTAACGTCCCGATGTCATTGTTAAACCCGGAGTACCTTCAGCTTTTTTAAATATTGTTTATGGTAATTAAAAAAAAGCTGAAGGTACTCCGGGTTTAACAATGACATCGGGACGTCAGTCATCTCAGTCCCCCGTGACCATGGGTGCTGGAAAGCGCCCGAAACGTCGGGAATTAAAAATAAAAAGTAAAAAATAAACGCGATAAAATCCGTAAAAGTAGTTTTAATCATGTGCAATGTTCGCGTAAATATAAGAAATCATTATGTTAACCGGATAATCTTTTTACTGGGACCGAGGCACTCCATCTAGTTCTACAGGGGTGACAATACATTTACATTTTGATTCCTATTCGATGATTGATTCAGTCTATGGGCAGTATCAACTTAACATCATGTGGACTGTGTACTCGTTTGTCACCCCATATCACAGCTCATAATTTACATAATAAAAAATATTTCATCCAATACACTGTTTATTATTGACAAACAGAGCACATGTACCAGCATCAACACCAAAACATAAACTGACACAATAACCTCCAAAAAATAGGCGCCGGTTCACCCATTCACTGACATTTCGGACCACTTCCATTTGGCGTGGCGCACGTTTTTGGCGTTGACAGACGACCGCAGATGACGTCCATTTGGACTGGACGCATGGATTTCAATCCGTTTGGAAATCCAGAGTTGGACGAATTCCATCCAAAAGGAATATTTTTATACCATTGACGATTTTGGGCGATTGCCACTCCATTTGGATTAATGGACGTATCGTCAGTGGGGACCTTAACGCAATGTATTGAAATTTATATCTCTCTTATTTTATTAGCATATAAAAATGTTCTTTCAAAAGTGAAGGGTTCTCTACAGATGATACTAATATTTTAATTATTTAAAATCAGATAATGTATATAAATAAGGCCACATTAAAAGTTAGAACTTACCTATAGACTGAATTATGTTATCCTTTTTAGCAATCGTCTGTTTAAATGCCTCGGAACTGGTACAAGTTTTGCTGTAACATGAACTTTCACATTAGAGAAATATTTTTAATGACTTGAGTGTGTAGACCACCCCACCCATTGCTTCACCCAACACATGCATACGCACATTGTTGCTTTTTTTTTATTTTATAGAAGAGGGGGCAAACGAGCATGTGGCTCACCTGATGTTAAGTGACTACCGCCGCCCATGATCAACCGCAACACCAGGGGAATTGCAGGTGCGTTGCCGGCCCTTTAGAAAAGAGTAAGCTCTTTTCTTGAAGGTCCCCAGGTCGTATCGGTCCGGAAAAATCACCGGTGGTAAATTATTCCACACAGAGGTTGTACGCGGAAGAAAACTCTTTTTGAAACGTACAGTGGTGGACCGCCAAGCATCCAGATGGTGTGGATGGTATCGGGACGTTTGCCGTGTAGTGCGTTCACGAAATTTGGCGGCTGGGATTAATCCGAACAATTCCTCAGAGCACTCCCCGTGATAGATGCGATAAAATACGCAAAGAGATGCAACATCTCTTCGCAGCGCCAGTGAATCGAGCCGATCGGAAAGCACTCGGTCGTCGACGATTCGAGCCGCTCTGCGCTGGATGCGGTCAAGTGGAAGGAGCTGGTACTGGGGAGCCCCAGCCCAGAGATGGGAACAGTATTCCATGAGCGGCCGAACCTGCGCCATGTAAAGTTGCAGGCGGTGTGCGGGCATGAAATACTGTCCCGCTCTGCTGAGCACGCCGAGCTTTTTAGAGGCCAATTTGGCCTTCCCTTCCAAGTGACCACGAAACTGCACGTCACTCGATATGTCGACGCCGAGGATTCCGATACTGGCTGAGGCAACAAGGGGGAGTGCCTTGAAACTGAGGGGATACGACAAAGGGGTTCTTTTTAGCGGTTAACGCGCAAACTTGTGTCTTCTGGGGGTTAAACTGGACTAGATTTAGTCGCCCCCAATCCGAGACTCTGTCCAGCAGAGACTCGACTTCAGACACAAGTTTGTCCCGGCACTCAGAGACGTTTTCCCGAGAAATATTGGCTCGGCCGGTGTAAAGAGCATCACCAGTGCTGTCATCTGCATAGCAATGAATGCTACGGGTTTGCAACATATCATTGATATGCAGAAGAAACAGCGTTGGCGATAGCACGCAGCCCTGTGGAACACCAGCATTAATAAGCTTGCAATCGGAGCTTGCACCGTCTACAACGACCTTGATGCTCCGATCCGCAAGAAAACTGGTGATCCAATCGCACAATTTCTCGGGAAGCCCATAGGAAGGGAGCTTCGAAAGAAGCGCTTTGTGCCAAACCCGATCGAAGGCCTTCGCAATGTCCAAACTAACGGCCAATGCCTCCCCCTTGGACTCTACTGCCTCCACCCATCTGTGAGTTAGGTAGACCAGAAGATCACCAGCTGACCTACCACGGCGAAAACCGTATTGGCGGTCACTAATCAGCTGGTGATCCTCAAGGTACCTCATGAGCTGGCAGTTTACAATGGACTCCATTGTTTTGGAGAACAAGGAGGTGATGGCGATAGGCCGGTAGTTGGACGGGTCTGAGCGGTCGCCTTTTTTAGGGATCGGGTGGACGAAAGCCGTCTTCCATGATTTTGGGACTACGCCTAGGGAGTAGGAGTACCGGAAAAGACGCGTTAAAACTGGTGCCAATTCTGGAGCACACATCCTCAGCACAATTGGGGGGATTCCATCAGGCCCACTCGACTTATGGATGTCCAGGGAGAGGAGTGCTTTGCGAACCGAGCGCTGAGTGAACTGCACTTCCGGCATGGAGCACTCACACCGCGGGATGGTCGGCGGCGTACTCCCCCCGTCATCGAGAGTCGAGTTAGACGCAAAGAAAGAGCCTAGAAGATCGGCTTTCTCCTTTGCGGTGTGGGCCAGTGAGTCGTCCTCCCTGTGCAGAGATGGAAGAGATGGCTGACAGAAATTCCCCTGGACAGCCTTGGCGAGAGACCAGAATTCACGGGTTCCAGAAGGAAGACGAACTAGTCTCTCGCCAATTCTGCCTATGTGCTCTGACTTTGCCTTGGCAATGACTCTTTTGAAGGACCTAGAGGCGGAATTATACTTCTTTTTTAGAGCGCTGGTGTTTACATCCCTGGACGCTGATGCGTCAGCCCAGGCTCGGTAGCACTCCTGCTTATAGCATGATGCTATTTTACAGGAGCGACCAAACCATGGCTGAGATTTGCCTCCAATGGGCACCACAGAGGAAGGAATAAAAAGTTCCATACCCTGAAGTACCACATCAGCGACAGAATCCGCAACAACGTTGGGATCGTCCGGCGAGAAGCAAACCCGCCCCCAAGGGTAGGATGCAAAGAAAGACCGCATCCCATCCCAATCGGCTGACCTATAGTGCCAAACACGGCGGCAGCCTGCAGAATGCAACCGCGATTTCAGCGTGAGTGGCACCACACTCCGGACAAGACAATGGTCCGAGGAGCCTAAAGGGGCGTCGTCGGAAATCTGATATCCGTCCGGGTGAGAGGTCAGCAGAAGGTCCAACAGGGAAGGTGCACGATCCTCCACATCTGGAATCCGCGTAGGCGAAGTAAACAGTTGTGTCAGACCATATGCCAAGGCAAAATCATGAACAGATCTCCCCGCATGATCGGTTAAACGTGAACCGAGCCATTCGGCGTGATGGGCGTTAAAGTCGCCGAGGATCACGATCTCTGCGGAAGGGGATCTGCTGTAGCAACGAATCTGCAGCCATTTGGACGTGGTCGAAGAGTCGGTCTGTTTCGACATTACCGCTACGGGACCTATAGAGGCACCCGTAGACGCGCGGATGATCGTCGCTGTCTACGCGTAGCCAAAGGATGGACAGGTCCGAACCTTCAAGTCTGCCGAGGCGTCGAGAACAGATGTCCTCTCTGACGTAAACGCAAACTCCAGCCCGAGGCACAAAGGAGTGTTCCAGTTTGTACCCCGGGCAGGAGAGATACGAGACATCAGCCGGAGAGGACACCTGCGTCTCGGTCAGAAAGAGCAGAGCCGGCCTCGCCGTCTCGAGATGGTAGTGGACGGCGTTTAGGTTAGAGTGAAGTCCCCTGATATTGCAGAAATTCACGGACAGCGTGGCAGGGGTCGCCTTGGTCTTGTTGCTCCGTTTGCCCCGAGCAGTTTTAGTCTTGAGCGGAATATTGCCCCCCCCCACAGAATACGCGGGGCAGCCTGAGCACCCACGCTCAGAAGTGGAGAAACATGGTCGTGGATGCTCAGCGAGGGATTCTCCAGGGGTGCTGGTACCCTCCTGGGGTAGTCTATCATTTAATTCCGCTACCATGTTGCTAAGGAGAACACATCAAAAAGTTCACAGAATCCCCCAAACAATTTCCAGCATTGTCATGATTGGATTTAATAACTGTGACTTGCAACTGTGCTGATTTTAGTGGAGCTACAGATGTCCAACAAGGCAAAGAATAATAATGAACCTAGATCGGAAATACTGTTGTTCTGGCAAGAACCAGCAAAAAATCCAGTGGGCCTTTTTTTAAAGTAACCATTTTGCAAAGAAATAAGCAGCACATACTTATTAATTTAGTAAAAGCATTGACCCGCGCCCGCAACTATAGCAATGCTGCGACACCCATAAACTCTAAGAAATTAGTATGAAAAAAAAATGACACAACCAAAGATGTTCCTTCTTGGTATCTGAGTTTACATGATTCGCAAATGTCGTACTGCGAATCACGGTGTCAAGATTACAGTCACTATAGGTGCATCAGTCAAAGTATCAGACGCTGATTAGATAAGTCAGTGGTGGCATTTAGACAACAATAGATTACAAAATCCATAAGATAAATGGCATACTTTAATGGCACCCTTTACCCTTTATATGGTACTACTTTTCCCTGGCTAGATGTCAATATTAAATTCTAAGCCGCATTGGAAAAGAAATGTTACAAAACAGAATAAGTTTAGTGTTGAAACTGGAGTTATTTGGGTTCCTACATTATGGGATGAATAAACAGTATTAAAAGTAAATGCATCTTTGACAACTAACTACTATATTATATACATCACCAGCACACAGAATCTAGATTTATGTAAACTTTAGCTCAGCCTCGAGTGGAACACATACAGGTTGTAAAGATTTACAAAATGATCTTAAAAATTATTCCTAATTAATGTTAAGTCATACAAAGCAAAAATATGTAAATAATAAGCACCTTTTAAGGATAATGAATTCCTACAAATTGTTTGCAATATAATTAAATATCCAACAACGTAATTCCAGAGTACTACTTCCTTTCAACAATAGATCTCCTCTTGTTCAGGATACACAGTCTATAATGACCTAGTTGATTAAGAATGTCGCCCCTTGCAGAGATAACTCTTTTATGACATTGATATTTAAGTATTAATAATAAATGTTATATTAAAAAGAAATTAATCAAAAAATCCCGTAAAAGAAAATAGGAATATAAAATACTATAATTTATATTAAGAAACTGGTCCCATTTATTGAAAACATCAAGCCATCAGCTGAAAATGAACCAAGGTTAGCACAGAGCAGATGCCTTGATCATGACAAATTATTATGAAGGCTAAAACACTCACAATATAAATTATTTTAAGACCACAAACTAAACTAAATGCTATTAAGCATTGATACCACAACTCAGGATATAATCAGCTGAAGGCCAAATGCTTTCAATATGAAAAATTAGAAGCAGCTAAGCACTATTTTCACAATCCAATGACAATTGTTAATGGATTAATTATGCCAGAATAAATTTACACCAGCATTAACCTTTTGAGCGCCAAAGTCGTCTATACGTGACCAGCACCCGCGTGCCCTGAGCGCCAACGACGTCTATAGATGACAAAAAACCCGGCCCACAAAAATATGAAATATAGACATTGGAAAATTATTACTGGTATTTTAATTCTACACCCCTCAAAAAAGAATAACCCAGCAACATGCGAGTATAAAAAACAAGTCTTCTAGAGCCACAAGTACTAAGAAACATTGAACTAAAAAAAATGTATTT